CAAAATAAATCAATTCAACATATACATGTATTTTATATACATTTATATAAAGAATCAAGTGTAACATAGCTCAGAAAAGGAAAAATCTATTCTTCAACAAACTACTAACCTACTACTTACTGTGGGGGAAAAAGTGATTGTCGGCATATTTCTTTTAAGAAATTATGACAGCATGAGATTACCGAGTTTGTTATGAGAGTCATCAGTTTGTAGCAGTATTGTCCTTTTTTTTTATTAAACTGAGATATTTTCTTGTGTTGTAAGGGGATATATATTTGTGTGATAATTTGTAGTAGAGATGTTATTTCTTGAGGTTACTTTGAATAGAAGATAGTGTAGTGCATCGTATGCAACACAAATTTTGCCTGAGACATTAGAAGTCTCCCTGGAGGAAAATGAGGGACATTTTTTCATTACAGCATCCTGTGGTTGAAGAGAGAAAAAGAAAGAATGGGAGATAGTTTATGCCCTTTTCTTTTGTACTGCTTTATACAATGCCACTTAGAAGGCATTAAGAGAACTCCCTCAGCTGACAGGGTGAAGTAATCCCATGAATGTATTAAAGAAATTCAGGCATTTTGAATCTTATTTAAGAATTTCTTGTTTAAAGAATCATTTCTTTCAAAGAAGACAATCCTTTATCTAACATTACAAAATCACATATATGGAGCTAAACCAAACAACAAAAAGCACAGCACTTCCTACCTCAGAAATAACAACAATAGGCTGCATACGTAACTTGAAGAGAAAACAATGGTGCAATCTAGGTGTTAACTTTTACCACTGCCACAAACAAAATGAGTGAAAGGAAACTCCCTTCAATATTGGAAAGAGTTATAACGGTTAGTGGACTTGAGAGCAGTCTAATGTCTTGAAAAAACGTCTTTATAAATTTCAACTGAGAGTAAATGTAACCATGGATGAATGAATGGCAAATGTTTCCTGTAATGTTTTCTTCTAATCTCATCATTACCATTAATGAATGCAAACAGGATTCTAGGTGCCATCAGCAGAACCTACTCAAAGAATTCAGTGGAAAATATCATGGTATTGTAAAAGTCACTTGTAAGAGCTATCCTAGAATATGTCCACCATCTTTGGCATCCCTGGCTTATCAAAAATATTTTAAAAAAATTGAAGCAGTTCAGAGGCAAATCACTAAAATATTTGTCTATATTTCTGGATGAGGTATTATAACTGTTTACACTATTTACATTGTTCAGACTGTTGTCCTCATTTCTATTATCATATCCACAACATTTCGACTGTTGGACACTCTGGCCTTCTTCAAATGATATACATTGGTATTTTGAACGAAACCCTTTATTTAGTCCATAGGTGTAGATTGTTCTAGTTCTACATGCCATGCCTTTTCTGGATGTCTCGGTTTCAGTTAATCACATTAATAATTAGTAGCTCAACTCTAAGTTTTTTTTTTGTTCACCTCTGCTGTGGCCAGGTATTGAGCTCACAACTTTTTTTTTGTACTGGTTCCCATATTGTATTCATGTCTATGCTTGGCTGGCTTAGGAGATTTTTGTACCCCAGGAGAGTTCTGAGTTCAATACCTGGCCACGGAAGTGGACAAACACTTGGATAGTTGACATAGTTGATTGAAGGAACAAAATACAGAAAAAGCAAAGGCCAAAAAGCCTTCTATCTCCATTAACTTTATGGTAAATGGATATTTCTTTTGGTAGATTTAGCCCTTGATGAAATATATAGATTTTCAAGCCAGATACTGAGCATTTTTGTTCTGGAAATATCTATGATGTTATACTAGTTTTATAGGAAATAAACCATATTTTCCAATACAATTACATATCCACATAGATGCCATATTAAAACACACCCAAACTTTATTGTAGCGATTTTCCAAGCATAGCTTAGATGTGGCACAAGGCCAAAAGTATGGGGCACCCAGTGAGGATCCAACTCACTGCTCATTCATAATTGTGTTAGTGAGATAAGCTTGCTAACCATTACACCACGTTGGGGTGCTCCCCAAACTTTACTGTATACCCAGTAATAGACAATATTTTCAAACAGGCCAAAAAGATTCCATAATACGACATACATCATTTAAATGAAAGTGTCTATTAGTTAGAAATTAATATTACCATGTGAAACATTTGACCATTCAGAGAAAACTAAAACCCTTTCAGCCGTAAAGATGTGACTGTTTCCAAACACAAGTGAAGACGTGGCTACATAACTTTTACCTCCCCAACCACCAGTGGAGTGCTGAAAGAAATATGCCAGTAACTTCAAATGAATCATCTCCAACAACAGCTTGGATGGTCAGTAAATCTTTACTGATGATCAAAGTCTTTTCTAAACCATAGCTTTTTCTGTGAACCAACTGCCCAAAGATTTTTACTCCTTTTTTGACTATTTTGAATTCAAAAACCTGTTTGTAAATACAAATGATTTATTTAACAGGCATATCGATGTTTTCTTTATTTTTATTTTATTATTGTTTGAAATTCAGATATTTGGATTTTTAATATAAAAGACGTGGATGACAGAATTTCCAACAGTGTAAATAATCATTTACACACAGTTATTTATACTTAGTAGTGTATTGCTCATTTAGTCATAGTTTCTTCAGTATAGATTAAATTTAATATTTCCAATAAGCAAAATATTTTGCTGTATTCCAAACCAAATTTACATTGACTGGAATGATTTTCTTTTTCTGATTATCAGTAAAATTGATAAAATTGATAAAATCATCCAAATTAACAAATCTTTCTACATAATTCTCTTTATTAAAAAAAATTTTTTTCAAAAATAAATATACTTTTCTAAAATATTATTTGAGAAAAAATATCTGATTTAAAGTTTAATTAATAGGAATTGAAACAAATATTACTTACATTTAGTTGAAAATAATTGCAGAAAAGTATTTTTTAACACAGGAGTGGATATTTTTTTTTTGATGTAATGTATATGCATACACCTGGGTTTTCCCTTACAGTAATATGATTGGATGGTGACAGCCATAAATACAGACTGATGTGGAGGTACAGGGAGGACCAGTCCATTATGGTTACCTGCTAGATTGTTCTACTTGGTTACAGTAGTCCATACCCACTTTGCTACTTCGAACAAATATATCCCTTTCTGGGACATATCATTTTTAAAGATCATTTTTTAACTATTCAGTAATCTTAAATATTTTAAACATTCTAATATTCTATTGAATTTTATGTACTTTATATACAAAACACTTGCGATGGAAATGTTAGAAAATTACCAATAAATTTTAAATTTACTATAATTGCTGCGATTATTTTCAGATATTGTTCTGTATAGACATTTGTATTTACAAAAATCAGCATCTTTATGCAAAAAAATAAATTCAAAATTTTTTTTTAAATACTGGGGTTTGTTAAATTGTAGTAAGCTTTTCTATTTATGTTTAGTAAATATAGTTTTTATTAAATAACAATATCACTTGACCAATACAAATTAATACAGGAATTTAAATGATTTTATAACTTTATGAATTATTCTAATTAAAAAAGTAAAAACTATTCTTGTAAAAATTCAGTGAAAAAATTAACTTCTTAAATAATAGTGTTCATGATATATTTTATTCATAAATGCACTTAAAATTATCTCAAATTAAATAATGTCTTAGTTTTATTGGATTATTTATTTTACAATTCAAAGCATATTTTCTATAATTGGTGGTCCTGTTTGACAAAAAAGAAATTGATGATCTAAATTCTCAGAGAACATGTGCTTATAACTAATATAACATTAAGTGCTACAAAAAGAATTTTTTGAAATTTCATAAAATTAAATAAGTGGGACATAAGAGACATAAAAAAATATTTTTAGTAAGATTTTCTAAAAAAGTAACAGTTAAAAAATATGTTAACTCATTTGTGGATAATTCATGAAAGTTTCAATAAAATCTGACAATTATCTGATTTTTGCAAGAATTTCAAATCAGTGTTTTTCACCACAAAACTTAAAACTCAAATTTCCCATACTAATTCATGGTCCCCATTTGACACCAGAAAAACAATATTTTTACCAAAATTTCATAGATTCTAAAAAGGATTAAAAAAAAAAAATTTATATCAAAAAATCCTTTGGTCTTTCCTCTTAATAATAGCACAAAGATTTTGACCATAAAACATTACTTTTATTAAGTTTGGAGCATTTTTCATCATGTCTGCTCATTTTTTAGTAAACCTTTCAATGTACATTATATATATATATATATATATATATATATATATATAGTTTGTACAAAAGTTTCCAGTACCCACTTTTTCAATACTGAACAGAAAGTATAAAACAGTTGTTTTTAATAAAAAGGAAATAGAAACTTTTTTAGGCACTTACTTTCCTTTTCTTTAATAATTGCGTCTTGGAAAAATATTAGAACATTGAAAAGATTATACACTCTGGAGTAAAAAAGTTATAAATAAAAACGCATATTAACCTATTAATGGCCATCCACCAATTTTGAAGTATTAATGGGTTACAGTTAGAAACCTATAATTTGTAAGTGACTTTTATCAACCTATAATTAATACTGGAGTTTTTATTAACCTATTTATTAAGTAATATGAGACATTTCAGAAATGATAATACCAGATTTTTATTTTAATTTCTATAATATGTACCAGATTATATGGTGAACATTAATGGGTTAATACAGAGAAACTACCGTTAATAAAATGATGCAGCAGCATAAACTTGAGAAAATAAAGAATAGAAATTCCTTCCTCTTTTTTAAGTGAAGGATTCTCTTTTTCATTTTAACGTAAACCAAATCAACCAATTTCTAGGTGTGCGTGCTCTATATGTAGAAAAATAATAAACAAATCAAAACAGATAGCGATTTTAATTTTGACCTTTTCAAATCAAACAATGGCAAGAATGGATGCAGAAATATGGCATTTATCTTAACCTTTTCTGGTTTCAAGTGGACTCTGGCCTTTCATTTTTAAAGATGTAAAGCAGAATTTACAAGCATT